GCTCCGCTGCAAACTCCTGCTCGCTCTGCTCGCTCACTCACTCGCTCGCTGCTCGCTCAGCGCTGACTCACCTTCCCTCTCCCACCTGTTCCCCTTTCGCAGCCCTCCCACCCGCCTGCCCCCTCCCCTGCTGCTGGCAGGCAGCTCCTCTGATCTCTCCCTTCGCTCCAGGCTCCTGGGTGCTGAAATGGGGGGGATCTCTTTATCTGGGGTCAGAACCTTAGCTATCATGGAGCCTGGAACCAGGGAAATGGGCTGGCTGAAGGGGCCTTGGAGAAGCCAGCAAGCCCTTCCTCACCCGTCTTCCCTGCAGAGCCTGGAAGGGGAGACTGCACCTACTCTGCCCTGCCCTCTCTCTTTCCCCCCCACCCCCTGCAGTCACAGCCCCGAGGGAGCGGTGGGCGGCAGGAGAGAAGGAAGCCGGAGAAAGGGAGGAAAGGGGGAGGGCAGGGAGAGTGAGAGGGTGTGGTCTGAGGAAGCTGAGAACCTCACCCTCATCGACCTGAAACCCACCCGTCAGGCCTAATTCTTGGAGGTTCGTCTTTGCTTCCTTCCCGCCAGCTTCTGAAAAACTTATTTTCCTTATGAATGCAAATTGCTTTAAGGAAAACATAGGAAAGAACCTAGAAGGCATTCAACTCAGCTGTTTCCTGCACCGCATTCTAGCCTTCTCTTTCTTGCTTCTTAGACCCCAGGCTGCGACCTGGGGTCCCTCGTGCTGTGTCTGGCTTTCCTCACTGTAGTTTTTCTCACTGCTGACTTTTCTTGGTATTGATGGATTCCACATATTTCCCATTTGGAATGATAACATAATGTTCATAATATCATAGAGTTCAGCAGGCCAACCCCTCATTGACAGGCAGGGAAACTGAGGCCGACAGGGGCGTAACCTTGAGGCCCGCTCTCCCGGGTCACAGCCCAGTGCCCTTCCCACTTCTGGACACAGGACCACGTACTTAATTCATGGGGTCCATCACAAGATGAAAATGTGTGTCTTTTGTTCAAAAGTCCAGAAAACTGGGCCATTGAAGGCACTCAGATATAAAGCTTTTTCCTTCCTTCAGACGACCTGCCCTGCTCATGTGCATGCCCCACTGTCCCACTGGACTTCACTCACAGAACACACGTTCAAGGAGAAAACTAAGAATTTCAAGCCAGAGACTACAGAGCATTCAACCAAGCTGGGGTCCCCCCGTGAAGCCAGCCTCTGATGAGCTCTGCTGGCCTAATGCTTCCCCCCCCCCCCACCCGTATCCGAGTCCTTCCCCTCCTGTATCCTGATAAATTCCAACTCTTTTGCGTGATGCAATGCTGTGATCAACATCTTTGGGCAGTTTTTTTGTTGTTTTCATTGTTTTCTTCTTGTGGCTGTTTGCTTGGCTAACTACTAATAGAATTCCAGGATGTTTGTCAGACTCTCTCAAAATGCGACCCCCAGCATCTGAATCTTTCCACAAGGACTGTGTAGACCTGAGTTCCAAACCAAGCTCCCCCTCCGCAGCTTTCCGATGGGGCTGTCTGACGAGCAGTGAGCACACGTGAGGAGGAACGACTGGCACGGGGGCACAGTGACGGCCATGGAGCCAAGAGCACTGGCAGTTACGTGCATATTTATAGAGAGAAAAGGTCACAGGTGCGAGACCCAGAGGGTCCCAGGTTTGCATTCTGCCTCTACCACTTACTAGCCATGTGACTTTGGGCAAATTGGTTGATGTCTCTGAACCTGTTTCCTCACCTGTAACAATGGGCCATTCATATCCATCTCACAAGCTTGTGGTGTGGATTAAATGAGATCTCATATGTGACCAGGCATGGCATGGTGTCGGGCACATTATTGGACCCAAACATATGGGAATTGCCTTCCAGAAAGGATTTTGATGGCTTACCATATGAGACACAGATGATCTAAAAACTGACCTCTGAGCTTCCTGGCAGCTGTGCAAAAAAGGAAACTTGACAGATCACTTAGCTCTCAGTATATGAGGACTGGGAGGCCACAGAAAGCTTGGGTTCTGACTTACTGTGTGCTCCTGAGCAATCTCTTCCTTTCTCTGAACTTCATTTTCCCCATCTTCAAAGTTAGACACTGGACCTAATGACCTGCTGAGCCCTGAGACATCTGACAAGCTGGGGTTCTATTCCTGTGTCCTTTAGAAGATGGCAAGAGGCCCTG